TTCAGACAGGCCTTCCTTCACTTCCAGAGGAAAACAAAGTTATCAAGGATGGAGACTGGCATGGCCCCATATGGTGAACAGACTGCAGGAAGTTTCCCCCCAAGCTAAGAAGTGAAAGGGCAACCAAGCTCACCCTGAACCCACCTGGCCCTGTGTGACAGTGGGGTTAGAGTCCCACTGCGAGGCCTGACGTGGCAATACATCACACAGCTACAGCTCATCCGAGGGGAACCGCACTGACGTTGGGCAAGGACAGCTTGAGGACATCATGGGAGTGAGGACAAGGGAAGTGAGGGGAGGACAGGAAAGATGGCTGCAAAAGGCACACAGGGTCAGACAGGAAGTGGCTAATCGCGCTTAGTTTCCTGTTAGGAAGAGCATGAAGGGTCACAGGGAGAACATCAACAATCCAGGCCTGGCTTTTTGGCAGAGGCAGGTATATATACAGCAGTAAATTATAGCAGAATGGGAGGCAGTTACGGAGTTTGAGGCTGTATGTTTTGGATAAAACTTCCCATATGTGTCCCCAGGACTCAGCAGCCCGTACAGTCCCTGCAGAAGAATGCAAATATTTAAAGAATAATTCTGGTTTATTAGAAGTTGGGTTTTATTTTTTATAGTTTTGGCCATCATTTCAATTTCTAACAATAGTGTTGTACTTATAAAGTGAACTGCTGAGATGTGGGAATAGACACATTTCTAAAAATAAGTCAAACGGGACAAGAACCAAGCGGTCAGACAGTCATACAGAAACATCAGGGTTAGCCAAGTTATTGGAAGAGAAAACAAAGGCGGAAACTAAAATATTACCAAAACTGTAAAATATAAACATCCAGGCAAGTTGGATGATGAACAGGTTGAGTAGAAAGGAAAAGTTTGACATTTTGGAAATACAATTGGACGGTTACCGTAGCTCAGCTTAGCATAAAGACTGGAGGCAAACGGAAACAGCGTGGCTCTATATAGAGTTCCCTCGCTCACTTATATACATCCATCATCCATTATCTATAACCACTTATCCTTCGCAGTGTACTGTAGGGGTTGCAGCCAATGCCAGCTGACCAGGCGCAAAAGGCAGGGTGCAACCATAGACTGTATAAATGTCTACAGTTGTCATAAAGAGGAAAATTTTACTACAGAAACCAAAACTGTTTCTTCTACCAGGCTGTAAGCATGATTATTTCTGCTGTAAAGTTGGACATTTTAATATGGGGTTTATGGAGTTTGACTCACTTCTGGTGCCAGCTTCATGTTGCCGTTCGAGGAACTGCAGTTTTTCTTACTAACCGTGGGGGTTTTTATTTGCCAGCCACGGAGGTTGTGGCTTGGGTAGACCCTGGATAAGTCACCAGTTCCTCACAGGGCTGACACATAGAGACAGACAACCATTCACACTCACATTCAGACCTACAGGGTGTACAGTGTACAGTTATTGTTACATGTTATATCTCATCTGTTTAAGGCATCTTTAAGGAAATTTAATTTTGTGTTGATTGTGGCGGCCCCTGTGGACAAAAGCGGTAGTGTTTTTCTTCATTGATTTTAGGAGGAATCCGACCGGTTGGTTGGCATTAGGAATAACTGTATAAAAATAAGCTTTTGTCATATTTTGGTAAATGCAGGTGTCCTCATTTTGAGTTGTAGATAATCTGGCTAACCTGCTGGCTTGTTTACAACCTGTCTGATCATCTGATTCGTTGTGGAAACATCGCTGTGTTCCCAGATCACGGCAAATGTTTTACTGAGTTCAGTGATACAGCTGATAGAAATGAAGGCCAAAGTTAACAAGATATATGACATAGAGTTCAAACACATTAGAGCCTTTACCTTTATGCTTGGTAGCCCCAGTTTGTGCCTCTCATGTATCACCATTACATTACAGAGCTAAGCATCTGATCTTCTAAAAAATAAATAATGATCAATCTTCGAAAAACATAAAACTGGTTAAAATCTTTTTTTATTGTGCAACAGATGTATTTTCTTCATCCAGATGGCTAGACAAGTGTTGAGTCTGAAAATACCTTCAGAGCAGCAGTAAGTCTTGTTAAACGACCTTCTGGGTTTTTCAAAGATTGCTGGGTATTTATTTTTTGTAAAATGGGTTGCTTAGCTCTGTGACTGGAACATAATGGTAATACATGAGAGTCACAAACCAGGGCTAGGTCTGTGAATGCTGAGCAATGTAGTAAGGTTGACTACACTGGAGAAATCTCCCTCCGAGTCCACTGGAAATGTCTCTCAGTCAGAGCTCTCATGAACAACAACCTGTACTAATAGGCTTTCAAAGAAACTGTTTATCTCTCCTTACCAAAGTTGAGATTTTTAAATTGATGCATGGGAATAAAACATCTCCACATGTTCAAATATTTATGAAACCAGTGTGTTAAACTTACCGCTGACCAAGAGTGTGCAGAGCTGTACCACTATTGATCGTGACCAGAAACACGCAACCATGCTGAAACTGTTGAGTCTAATGCATCCCTGAGGAACCACAGTGATAAAGGGTTCAGACGTGTGGCTCACCATCGCAGGGCCTTCTGCTGCTGCGCTACACTGCAAAAACAGCACTTGTAGAAACAAGGCAAATATAATAAAATTTTCTGCCTGTGGGGTAAACAAGTTTTTCTTGGCTAGAAGTCTTAAGTAAGTTGTGCTTATTACAAGCAATGAAAACTCAGTTATTTATGATAGACTTTCTTAAATTACGTTTTTTGGTCACTTTATTGTGCTGAATCTGACATTAATAATTAGAAAAATCTTACAATAAGGCACAATTTTCTTGATTGTGATCAAATAAGTAAAAAACTAACAACTAATATCAAATTACTTTCTGTTAAAGTAGTTCTGCAAGAAGTTGTGCAAGTGGTCTTACTCTTAAAATAAGGAAAATAATCCTCTGCTGGGATATTCTGCAAACCATTGTTGTAACTTGTTACTGGTTAAATTGAGCTCAATATGAGCTGTAATATCTTATTAAGACAAAGTTAGATATATTTCCTTAAAACAAGATCACTTTTATAATGCATAACATGCTTGACAACATTATTTTTCTTTTTAGACAAAATATAAGACTAATTTCCCAGAAGCAAGGCTTTTCACTTTCTTGAGATTCATTTTTTTACAGTGTAAAAGTACAGGGGAAATGATTATCTTAGAGGCAACTTAGAGGAGTGTTTTATTTTGAAATCCATTTAGGAAAATCACTATTTTCATTATCATCCTCAGAGAAAATATAAGAAATCAAGCAAGCTGTGAGCAGGCACGGATGCAACTGGCAGAGAAGGTTGTGCATGGCTGACTGACTGAAGACGTGAGAGACACAGGCAGCTGGCTCACTGAGCAGTCATCTGTGAGTGTGTGTGTGTGTGTGTGAGAGGGTGTGTGTCTGTGTGCGTATGGTTCTCAGCAGCTCCAAATGAAATTAGCCGCCAAGCCGAGTCCTTTAGCAGCAGTCTGCAGCAGAGACTCAAGGTCAGACTCGCTGATTCTGCTGATGCATTTTATTCTCCGGAGCCAGCACCAAGCTGCCGGATGAGGGGTTACCGCTGCCCACCAACCCCTCTACTCATTCCCACACCCATTCATCCTCCGCACACACTCCCATGCTTCCATTATCACCCTGGTCCGCCCTGGCAGGGGAGTGTGCATTTACCCGTTAAATTAGGTGGGAGAAGGAGGGGGGTGACGGTCTCCGCCGGAGAGCCTGGATACCCTTGCTGACGTGCAGTGCAGAGACGGATAGGCTAAGGTGTCCTGATTTCCCATGTGACTACAGTAATTGTGTTATAATGGAGGTGGGAGCTGAGTGGCCATCAGCAGAGGGACAGAGGTACAAAGCTCCTTCCTGTCGCCATTCAGAACAGTGGAGTGCAGAATGAGACAGCAGGGGATTGTGGGTGCAATGTTTGCTTAAAGGCCATGCATGCAGTTTGATGCACAGTCAGAGCTTCTTGAGGTGAGGGATTATATTAGCGTGTGCGCCCCTGCTTGTTACAGTGTTTGTGTCTTGAGCCGCTGACTTAATGCTACAGTTTGCAACCAGATCCCCTCAGGCAGGTAGCAAAGTGCTTCGCCTCGTAGCCAGCAGTTGGTCAGGTTGCTGTCTCAACACTTGTTAGCTGACTTGATGAGCTTGAAACAGAAGCAACATTTAAACTCCTTCTTGCCTTAGGCTGCTAACGTCACCAACAATATCGATTTTTCCTGTTTATCATTTACACAATTATTCATTTAATTGTCAGATATAATGAGAAGTTCTCATCAGTTTTACTGTCATGGAATGATAAATACAAGCTGTGTTCTGCATTTGTAAAGCTGTAAAATATCGAGAAATTGTACTTTTGCTCATTAAATTAGAATCATCTCATTTTCTGCCTGTGAACAAAAACAATTAATTAAAATAAATTAATGCGTCGCTCTGGAGAGTGTGTAGAAATAACCCTGATGACATCAACAGAAATCCTGCCTTACAAACTGAAGGTGAGGGGTTTGAAAGATTCAGACATTTCAGAGGCGGGGAAGGTCTAATGAAAGCTGATACCCAGCTGCATTATGGGAAAGGCAGGATCCAGAGTTTTAAAAGTCACATCCTTTTTCTAATCTGTCTCTTGCAAGTGTCATACTAAATTGCTGGAGTACACTCTTAATGACTGACGTTAAACAGCCTTCAAAATGAGAACCATTTTCTGTGGACAAATCAGCTAATGGACTTGAATCTTTAATGCCACCAGAGGTGTCAAAGATGCAGAACACAGACAATTTGCACTTATTAAAAATAGCAATGCAGACATTTATCATTGGTCTTATCTCCTGCGCAGTTATCATTAGTGATTCTTTCATTTCAGTACTTTCATCACTCCTTTCCTCCTCACCTAGACATGTGTACTGTACGAGCTGACCATAACAAATGGTTCATACCTGTAAGTGTAATTGAAAAGGCGTGCACTGAACCAGAGTGACTGTCCTCATGTTCCTCTTCTCCTCTGTCTTTTGTCTTTTAGGCACCATGAGGCCAGTGCAGAGGAACTTCTACGAGCCGTCGTCTGCCCCGGGGAAAGGCGTGGTGTGGGAGTGGGAGAACGACAACGGCTCATGGACGCCGTATGACATGGAGATCTGTGTGACCATCCAGAATGCGTACGAGAAGCAGCACCCCTGGCTCGACCTGACCTCTCTGGGCTTCTGCTACCTCATCGACTTCAACAGCATGTCTCAGACCAACCGGCAGAGCCAGCGCAAGCGGCGACTGCGGAGACGCATGGACCTGGCCTACCCGCTCATCATGGGCTCCATCCCCAAGTCGCAGTCCTGGCCCGTGGGAGCCAGCTCTGGCCAGCCCTGCTCCTGCCAGCAGTGCATCCTGGTCAACAGTACGAGAGCCGCCTCTAATGCGATTCTGGCCTCTCAGCGGCGTAAGCTCTACGGAGGGACAGCGGGCAACCCGGGCGCTGCAGGAACCCTCACAGTGGTGCGGCAGAGCAACACCTTTGCTGGAACCTCCCTCTGGTCTCCGACATCCGCCTCCTCCGGCACCAACAACAATAACATAAGTGTGGGGGGTGGGCAAGCCAAAGTGGAACAGGTGCAGTTGCCACTGTCCACTGCCAACTTCCCCTGTTCCCCTGTGATGCCATCTCTTTCATCCGCCCATGGCCACCACGCTCTCACCATCAACGGACAGAACAACCTGAACCGGCCGGGCACCCAGCGCATTTCCATGGGCACTGCCAGAGGAGCCATCCCACCAGGGTAATGATGTTTGCAAACACAATCATGCACTCCCCTTATTTTCTCATTTAGATTTTCTGGAGTCTGCAGTAGCCTGTTACTTGTTATAGCGCGGGCATAATGCTCGGATTCGGTTGAATTTACAGTTCAGCTGAGGCAATGGGAGGATATAAAAAGCAAAGAGACAATCTCTGTTTCTGCTTGTCTGCTTCACAAAGCTTCAGCCTGCATGTGTCTGGTCTATTGTTCTCTGTCTTTCTCTACCTCTCTCTCATTTATGACCGCTCTCGTTAACGTGCTGATCAGCGGATCAGCAGAAAAAGCCTTGGGTCCGGCTGATTCTCCTTTACTGAGGAAGCACCTTCTCTTTCACATGTGTGTTTGCCATGGTTACTGCTCCATAATGAGCTTATGTTGGCCCCAATAGGCGTGAAATACTGCAACGCTGCTGATCATTCTGTTGCTTCTGCGTCAAACTAATTTGTTACTATTGCAGTGCGCTGTGGCTTTTGTGTCATGGGATGTGAAGAAGTCAGATGTCGTATGTGGAACGTGTGGATCTTTGTGTGTGTGTGTGTGTAACTGCGGTCTGACATGTGAAGCGGGCTCTGGTGTAGCCGTGGAAACCTATTTGCCATGGAGGCAGAGATCCACTGGGGAAGAATGAATAATGGATCAAGGAAAAATGGGAGCTTCAGCAGAGCGCTCTGACCTCTGAGCGATTCAGCGAAAGGAGTAGAGGGAAAGAAGTGTGTGTAGCGTTGTAACCGATACTTCAGTCCCCTATCCTGCTTTCTTTTACTAAAATAAACCCTCTCCTGATCTAATTTGATTCCATTTTGTTCTTGCCGCTCATGGGGAGAGACACACTTACTGCATGTTTGAATAATACCGTCCTTACCCAGGCGCACATGCGTTCACTTTCTGTGGCCTAATTCTGTGTCACTGAGAGGAAACGTATAGGGTTTTTGTTCATCATAGCAGGCCATGACCTTGTTTCATACAGCGAGCAGGTGGAAGATGATGAGTCTCTGTACAAAGGTATATGTGATAGAGAAAACCAGCCTAGGATGACCTACTCAGGGACTCTTCCTCTGTATTTTAAGAATTCAGTGAAAGCTCAGGTGCGCGTGAAGCCGTGGATGAAATGTGACTTTTTCACCTCGCAGCACAAAGGTTTTTTTGTTTTTTTTTGCGGAGACAAAGAGAACGAGTAAAAGGAAGAGACAGGGGGGTGAGGCAGAGTGCGTCGGTTCCCAGGCGAGTGGCTCGACGTACAGGATGAGTGTGGTTAACATACACACAGCAGGACATGAGAGCACACAAACACACACAGACACACACACACACACACACACACACACACACACACACAGACACATAAACTGAAATGTGAACTCCCTCGTAAATTCCCACAAGCGTGCTACAGACAGATAACAGAAGAACCCACACAGAATGTAAAACATCAGATCTGTTTTTCACACACCCACACCCTAATATAACTGGTGTTGGGTGCAAGGCTTGTATTTGGCACGCTGTGGCTTATTTACATTATATTGCTGCTTTACATACACAGAAACTCTCTCTCACACGCTATCTGATCACAAGTCTATTTCTACTACATTAATACTGAAGATTTAAAAAAATACTCTTTCATATATGATTGATCTCATCTTTGCATAAGCTACCACAGCAACGTATGTGTTTTTATGGTATCATTAATGATGAAGTCTGCAGTTCAAATATTGATCTTTTTATTGTTTCTAGAAATCACTGGTAGTGGGCTATAAATGATGATGGTGGGGGGGGTTGTGTTGCTTCATGCATTTGTCTTACATGCACAAATATTAGAAGTGGCACCATCTGCTGGTGTGTGTAAACACATCAGTTTATCTTATAACCGAGTTGACACAGCGCACTATATCACCACCTGCCTTTACATGTTACCTGATACAAACTGAAGACCTGCGGTTTGTGAAACAGGGTCGTGTAAAGTGACGACGGATGCAGGCTGCTATGGATTTTTTTTTTTGTGAATTATTGAGCTCACACTGTTGCATATGCCAGGAACAGGAAAGGCCTTTATTTACTGTAAAACATAAAAGTGCTCAACATAATCTAATAAATTTGGCTGTTTCAGCTGAAAGTAGAACAATTATAATATTATATATTATATCATTATCTTCAAAATTGCATGATAAAAAGTTTTTTATTTATATTTTATACTTCTATATTTATGTGTGAGTCACATGGATTTTGGGTAACACTTTAATTCCATGTTTAGCATGTATAAACACCATACAGACACTTAATAAAACACTATAATGTTGAAAGCAGATATAAGGAGATTGTGTATTTACTAATATAAATAAATATGTGTCAACAATCTTCATATGAAAGAATATTTCATAGTATTACAACTGTGTTTTACTGTATTGCCATTCACACAGCAGCTTCCACTGATGTGTGACCACAGAGGAGTTATAGTTGTTGACAGATACATTATTAAACGCATATCTGCTTACAACTACATGAAAGCATCTTATAAACATTCATTAAACGTTTATATACTGCTTATAAATGATTAAAAGGGGAGGATAAAGTCAGTGTATATATATGCATATGTATTATTGGATGTATGTATAATCTACAAGTACTTGAACCACAGTATCTCGATGGGAGATTTCTTGCAATGATATGATTACATGGAGAGATGAGAGAAGTGATTAAATCTTGTCTCTTTAAAAGATAAGGAGACATATTTTGAGTTAGGAATGAACAGAGGAAGAATTTCACACATGATCTCTGGGGAATTTTTTTTTTTCAAGTCTTTTTTGTCAGCCAAACCACTTCCTCTTGTGCACTTCTGTATTTCACTGACTGATCTGCGCTGCCTGTCTACAGAAAGAATTACTGTATTTCTGCTCACTGCTTTCTCTGCACAACCTAAACGCATGTAGACAGAGAGGTATGAAAGAAGAAGTCTGGTCCGGTCTCCTTCGGGGGGAAGGGATAAGTGTTTGTTTGCTGTTGACTGTGTTTACGAGCTCCACTCTCTTTGTGTTAAGACTGCTCTTCTGAGTTTTGACTGGAGGGCTGTGTGTTGAGTGCAGAGATCATTATCTCTCAGTGGGCTGCTGCTCGCTCTGCTCCGGCGTTCACCATAGGATCAAAATTAATGTTGAAATTAATGAATAAATCATGAGAGCTCATCTGGACCAAACTGATGCAATTTGGACATTCCTGCCGTCATTATTGTTCATTCTAAGGGCATTTCAGGTGCATTGTAAAGTTGTAACCCCCCTACGTCAGTGTAGCAGGGGGTAGGGCTTGCCTCTGCCTCCCACTGCCCACATCAATATGTAATTAAGCACTCCTGGAGTTCTCTCCCTCCAACCCCCCTCTCACTGTCTTGATGGTGCATAATAAACAGATGAGGAGATATTGGTACTCAGTCAGCACTTTCCTAACTAGGCCTAATGTGGTCTCTCTATTTGGGGAATCACATCGCTCTGTCTGATTAAGTCCTCGAGGCAGGCTGGAGATTCCCTCAGGAAAGGATGGATGATACTGAGCAGGAGACAGAAGAGGGACGGCGACCCTCGTGCCCTGACCTGACAGGGGCCATAATTAATGTAGTGTTAATGGGTTTGGTATGTAGGGGCTGGATTTATCACTTAATTGCGTTGGTTTTAGGTCAGAAATGACAGAATTAGACGTAAAAAAATATCAGCATGGGAAATTCCTCAGCAGTATTTCGACATGATTGTGGGTGTTGGTTTTTCATGCAGAGAAGATGGACAGAAGGCAGCGAAGAAGTGAACACAGGTCAGGAGGAAGAGAAAAATTAGAGTTGGCAGGGCGAAAGAAATGCAGAGGTGACGAGGTTCAGGCTGGTTCGCCGAATTCTTTCCATTGCCTTGTCAAAACTGGAGTGCCAGAGCAGCAGTGTTGTGGTGGAAAGGCAAAAGGTCTGCTCTTGTATACACTGATGATGAGGTGTATCCTCGCAAGATCTGAGCACGAGCAGCGTATTGTTCAGGATCATTGGATACTCTGCATTGATTTTTTTTATGCATAGGAGTTAGAGATCAGTAATGACAATGGATTTTGATGCACTCCTAGATTTAACAGTGATGATGGTGTTTTCTAGACAAATGTGATATGGGAGTGGAAGAGGAAGGAGTTAAAGCCAGAGTTAAACCCTTGAAGTCATCCAGCATTAGGGGTTTTCTGCAGAGTGTGAGGAGGTGACATGTGTCTTAAACCTTTGCGCTCAAGGCGCAGCCGTGACAGACCAGGTCAGTGCCTCCAGAGGTGCACATTTCAAGAAAAACAAGTCAAGAGAAAAGAGCTCAGCAGTGCAGAATGAGATGGAGGCTGGCAGCTGCACACAGGGTACAGGTTGACTGGCTGCAGCCTTGTGCAAGAACAATTTCTGCAGTGCATAGATAGGTAATCACAAGCTTTGCAGAAATAATGAGCTACAGCGCAATGGGAAATTGCTTGCAAGATGTGGATCTATGTGTTTTGTAAAAAATAAACCATAAAGGCAGTGTGTAGATAAGCGTGTCTTTCAGCCTAGCAGATAATGAACGTCATTCGCTGCTGCTGGTTCGTGGTTTTTTTTTTGTTCACAGTGGTTGTAGAATCAGTGTGTGCAACCGTTTCATCAACATTGCATATTTATTATGCAACGTGCTCTCCAGCTGATAGTGAGATCTTTGCTAGAATTGGAAAGCAATAAAGATGAAAAGCATTCCTAATTTGTGTTATGCTATGGATCCTTGACACATCCTCTGCACTGTGTGCTTATAGGAGTTGTGCACACAGCACACAACGAGATTGTGTTAAGGGCCCTCATGGTGTGCTGTCCCATTTCTTCTCCTAATGAAAATTATTTGTTTGATCACAACACTCTCTGTGAGCAACCTAAATTATACATGCACTCATAAAGGGAGGCATCTTGTTCTCGGTGTGTTTTGATTAGATTTAGGCCTAAGTGCACGTTTAAATGAAGGAGGAACTCTCCCACTGGGCAGCCCCTAATTAGTTATTATTGAGTATCACATTCTTCTTCTTCATCACTTCTTACTCTTGATATTCACATTCGATAAGGTGTCCCCTTCCTCTCCCTTCTACATTTTCCTCAGCAGCAGGCGGCGGATCCAAAAGGGGTGGTATGGGGTGGCACCCTTAAAAAAAAAAGGCCTGGCTACCCCAGTTTGTAGTCACATAATGCCAAATTTAACACATTAATTTAGATTAATTTGAAAAATAACATGCTAAAAAATGTTTTGGGGGCTTTTCCAAGCAAATATTGTGATTGTTTGCGAATCAAATCAGCATATATTAAGTCTCTCTCTTGCAACACGATGAATATTTCTCCAGCTCTGCCACTGCTCACCATTAAAAACAAACACTGCCTCCATTTTCCAGACGGACAGAATAAGCCAGCATTCTCTGACTCAAGCTGGTACTTTCACTGAGCAATGGGCAGCTGGGTCCTGTAAAGTATTGCCCGGATTAGTTTTTGTTGCAAGTGCCGACTGCAGCGAGCGACTTCGCCCATTAATTCATCTGCTGCGGTTGAAGGTGTGAAATCCCTCGCTGTAGTTTTGCTTCAAACTAAATCCTGCAGCCAGTCAGACCTGTCGTGGTTTCACACCCCTGAGTTCGACATTCTGACATAAAGTGTTTATCACAACTGCACATCACTGTACTTTCATTTATTTGGACTCACATCAGTCTTGCACACAACAGGAGTCTGCTAATCCCGGTGTCTAGTCCACTGGTGTGAGACACAGTGTATCTGAGTCCCTACCAGAGATAGGACACATGAGCCAGGCCTCGTGTGCCTTTTTGTTAATGCACTCAGGGCTTCCCCTGGCACAGGAACAGAGGCTTTCGCTAATATCAAAGCAGTCTCTTGATGCGGATTTGTGAAACACCCGGGAGCTGCAGGGCCAAAGTCCTCAGTCGCTTCATGGTCAAAGATCAGACAGATTTAGAAGTATATGTGCAGTAGTGTGTGTGTGTGTGTGTGTGTGTGGTTCATAAACAGATAACTAACAAGTGACTAATTTCTTGTGACTTTCATCTAGATCTTTTATCCAGGAGATAGCTGATGGCCAGTTTTAGTGAAAGCATAATTATAATTGTGTTTTAGGACATATTGCCACAGACCACTAACATTCGTAATGTCCTGTTTTTTTGAAAATGTATTACTTTGTCTTACAGGATGTGGTATTTGCCCTATCTTCATTCTTCAAAGGAGATTTGTACTGAATACAGAGGAGACATGATAGATGATGGGATCTCAAAGGAGAAGGTGCATTTATCAATTAATGTGTTTATATCATGTTTCATTCAAGTGGGAGAGAGAACATGGTGGTAAGATTTACATTACACCTAAACTGCTCCTTATGCTAAACCATAATAATCTCCTTACACTTAGCTCATAGTTAAAATGAAGGCACTGATTGTGTTGTACAGTTGAAACCAGAAGTTTACATACACTATAAAAAAGACGCATACGCTTTTTTTCTCACTGTCGGACATGAAATCAGACAATCACTTTTCCTGTTTTAGGTCTGTTAGGATTACCAAAATTATTTCATCTGCTAAATGCCAGAATAATGAGAGAAGGATTTTTTTAGACAATTTTTTATTACTTTCTTCAAAGTCAGAAGTTTACATACACTAAGAATACTATGCCTTTAAACAATTTGGGAAAGCCCAGATGATGTCCCCATAGCACATCTTACATCAGTGTATGAATAGAAACTGTGTGGGTTAAGTATCTGACAACCTAGAGACTTGGTCTAGCATTGGTCCCCATAAGGAACCACGACATGGTGTGTGATATGTCCCCACTAAGCTTGTTTATTCAATATGTGTGAAAACAGGCAGAGGTTGATGGAGGAGGAGGGAATATTGAATTTGATGATTTTGTCGTTGAAGTTTTTCGTGCCTGTTGGCTTGAATTTAACTACTTAGAAATTTGTCATTAAGAAAATGCATTAGTGTAACTAAATATTATGCAGTGATAACATCAGACTTAAACTTGTTTTTCATATTTTGAAATGTTTGCAGATGACCATGAATGCAGCTGATGCTGTCATTCCTGTGGAAAGCTCCCAGCATGCTGTCTTGTTAGAGACGCAGATGACTGAAACTTTGAGTCCATGAGACACTAATCAACAGGTACATTCATGTTTAAACATAAACTTTTACCATAATTTTAAGTCACCGTAACTTTACTCCTAGAATATTTTAACTACGTTTGTTGCTTTTTTTGCCCTTTAAGCAGGTAAATAAGCTGTTTTTTTAAATGCATCTAGAAACATAATGGTAATAGGATATTCAGGACAGATTTTAATGTTCATAGGGATGTTACTTTTGATAAAATATCACTCTATTCTGGGACATTCACGACGTCCCAGCATAGCACATCTTACATCAGTGTATGAATAGAAACTGTGTGTTAAGTATCTGACAACCTAGAGACTTGGTCTAGCATTGGTCCCCATAAGGAACCACGAATCCATGGTGTGTGATATGTCCCCACTAAGCTTGTTTATTCAATATGTGTGAAAACAGGCAGAGGTTGATGGAGGAGGAGGGAATATTGAATTTGATGATTTTGTCGTTGAAGTTTCGTGCCTGTTGGCTTGAATTTAACTTTAGAAATTTGTCATTAAGAACATGCATTAGTGTAACTAAATATTATGCAGTGATAACATCGGACTTAAACTTGTTTTTCATATTTTGAAATGTTTGCAGATGACCATGAATGCAGCTGATGCTGTCATTCCTGTGGAAAGCTCCCAGCATGCTGTCTTGTTAGAGACGCAGATGACTGAAACTTTGAGTCCATGAGACACTAATCAACAGGTACATTCATGTTTAGCACTTAAACTTTACTCCTAGAATATTTCTAACTCACCGTTTGTTGGTTTTTATTCCCTTTAAGCAGGTAAATAAGCTGTTTTTTAAATGCATCTAGAAACATAATGGTAATAGGATATTCAGGGCAAATTTTTATGGTTATAGGGGATATTTTTTTTAAAAAATATCTCTTTTTTGTGGGATTCACCCCCCCCCCCCAAACCCCTTTTTAAATCTTTTTATTAAAAAAAATTGTGTTTTAAATAACCAACAACCTAGGAGTTTTGTTGTACTAGGGTCCCTAAAAAAAAACCACAAATGGGTGTTGTTTTGGCCCCCACTAATCTTTTTTTTTATAAAATTGTAGAAAACAAGAGGGGGGGGGGGGGGGGGGGAGAATTTAATTTTTGATTTTTTTGTTGTTGGAAGTTTGGGCTGCTTGAATTTAACATTAGAAATTTGTCATTAAGAACATGGTAGTGTAAATTTAATACTAAGCAGCGATTACATCAAATTGAACACTTGTTTTTCATATTTATGTTTACAATTACAATATTTTAGATGTAGTTATATTTTAAGGCTGTCTTTCAAACGTAAAAAAAAGTCAATGTTTTGCCTAAACTTACAAATCGCAAATGTTGTAAATTTGATTTGTCCTAATTATTCAGATTCATTTTCAAGGTATATTTTTTGACAGCACAAACGGTGTGTTTGCAGACAAAGGAATATTATCTATGTTCAGAAGTATAAACATTCACCAAGTCAGACTTCAGTTTCAAAATATTTTCTTGTGTTTAGACTTTTGCTGTTTTTAGGACCATTTGTTAACATCACTACTCCAAATATTTAAGTGTGTGAGAAAAGTATAATATAACATTTGCAATTAAGTGGTTGATTAACACTGTAGGAATTTTAAACAATTTTAATTGTATTGTCATAATATAGTACACTGGGATTGTGTTCAGTTCCAAGGATATATGTCTAAGTAACTTCTTTTTGTCCTTAGATGAAAGGCACAGATGTTGAAGATTCAAATGAAGTATCCGACTCTATACAAGTTTGTATTGTTGCTTTCAGTTTTGTCTTGAGAGAACGCAAATGAGCAGGACTCAATAAAAAGTTTAAATGTATAATTTAAATGAGAGTTTGACTTCTTGAACTAAGGAAATTATTTTTTACTATGAAGTAATGCAGCAAACAACACAGACAAACATGAATACTAGTTTTAGGGTTGTTGAGTATTCTGTGACTGAGAAGTACAATATTCCACAGTTTCTGGGTAGTTGACTGTGGTTAAAAATAAGAACCATGTGAGACGTAAACGAAGAAAACCCCTTACAGTGAAATTAAGGTTGAAAAGTTTGATGGGTGAGACAACAATTTAGTAATTCACTACTAAATTCTTGGTACTTAAGTGACCCCTGATATCAAGATTAAGTTAGAACAATGTCTCTAGTATAAATGATATGTAAATCATTTGATTCCCATTTTATTTGTATAACAAATTGTATGTTTACCCTGTTTTCGCTATAAATAAAAACTAAAAAAGTATATTGGTTCTGGAATAAATAATGTTATTGTGTTATGTACAGTACTTTTGTGCAGTTTGGTTTACAATGTGGAATTGTGATTCACAACAGTATCCAACCCTACTTAAGAATCCTCTTATATTACCACAAACCACGAGCACAGTAGTTCTTAAAGCTTAAAATACACATTTTCTTTAGTGAAAATATCCTAATGACACACTTTCTGCATTAATTTTGGTGCTGCTAAAGTAGATTATATCATTTACATTATTGTGGTTTAATTCTAGTATTTGGTCTGATGCCTGTGGATAGCAGCTTGATAACTTTATGAAAAATCTATTATTAAAGACATAACCTGGTTGGTAGAGGACAGCTCCATTGCAGCTTCATAGCAGTTTACAGTACGAAGGAATCACAAAGTGGTTATATTATGCACTGCCATTGTTGTAGTGAACCTTGTGATCAAAAGAAGACAGGTAAAATGCAATAATCTGAGGATTATATCACTTAAGCTTGTTGTTTTACCATGGTCCCCAGTAATCAATTGGAAATCTGTGTAAATTATGCAAATTATATTTAAATGAGGTCCCCCACAAACATGTTTACTGGATTTTACATAGGTCCCCAGTTAGCATGATGAAAACCTTACTTCATCAATTCAGATATTTGAAGTCGTGTATGAGCTAACCAACCAATGGTGAGTGTGCCTGATTTTTTTCATACCTCTAGAACCTCTAGAAAGGGTGGTCCCCGCAAGTGATGATCAGAAATTTGGTCCCCATTGCAAATGGTAACCAGTATGTGTGTGTGTGTGTGTGTGTGTGTGTGTGTGTGTGTGGTTCATAAACAGATAACTAACAAGTGACTAATTTCTTGTGACTTTCATCTAGATCTTTTATCCAGGAGATAGCTGATGGCCAGTTTTAGTGAAAGCCATTAAAATGTCCTCTATGCTTTTGATTATTTCTGATTTGTGGTGGCTCCTTGATGGGAAAGTCATTATAAATTTAACCACTGGTGGTGCGGTGGAGCAATTTTTTTGATGAGTGTCTTTTGCCCACTAGTCATGGGAATTCTGACTCTTTTTAGTGATCCAGATCATTTGACTCAGATCGTGTAATAAGAGTCGGCTCTTATGGCTCACAAATGGCTCTTCATTTATCACTTAAAGCTTTTATTTTTCAGCAAAATTTTGCCAATAGCCAATCATGGGGCAGTTGTTGCAAATGTTTGGTGGGAAGAAGATGGTAAGAATGAACTGAGTAGATTTACATTATGATTAATCTGCATTATGCTAAAGAGACTTGCAATATGAATATACAGGAAAAAAGGTTTGAGCATGCAGCTAGTTTAACCCATTTTGATCTTAAAATATTAATTAGTTATGCTAATAATATATGCTAATGTTTAAATCACAGGCCTTCCATCCCATAAGGTTGTTTTGCGATGAAAATGTTCTACTCATAATAATATAGGATATATCCTAATATATCCTAATAAATAGGACAGACGAGCTTTATTTTAACAAGATTAAAAGTCAATAACACTGCATACAGTTGACAAACAATCAATATAATTTGACACTATGTTTGACAACAAGACCAGCTAGCTATCCAGCCATGTCATTGTCCATAAATCAATATTAAGATTTTCATAAAGTAATGACCTGAGTTGAATACAGTGAATGGGACGTTGGGATGATCGCTTATACAAAGTCACAGTAAATTCAGAGGGGCAGGGTAAGGGGGTTCGCTACACTTGGTTTTCATTTAATTTATTTCAGCGCTTTGATTTAGAACGGTGAGCAGACCGTTTCACTGGACCTGCTTAGTATGTGTCCTACATCAGGAATTAATGGGCACCCTGTAGCCAATCAAAATCGAGTATTCACCCAGACCATGATACATCCATGGATATAACAGCTATAAATACTGCCGTGTTATCATCTTGTTAATATGTCGCTCATTAACATATCCAGCAGACACAGAGCAACATTAGCATTCACTTGGTGTTTCAGGGTTAGGGTTTCAACCTGAAGTCCAGTAGAACCCACCGCATTACCATCAAATTACTTAACTTTGCTGTTACTTAAGTTGGATTGTCTCACTGAGGTTTATGTTTGACCTGAGGAAAAGAAAGTTGTTCCTGAAGTCTGTTGTTCTGTGGCCCTCGCTGTGGGAAGCTGGTTGAACCGAGGCTCCGGCCCTCTGAAAAGAGACTCACTGACTCGTATGCTCATATTAATGCCCCGAGTGCTTTTGTCCGCTCTGCTCCACAGATCTTGAAGAGTGCGCAAGTCAACTGTCTTTGTCGTCTGTGTTTGCTATGAACTCCAGCCTCTCCAAATGTCATCCTGAATCAGCCTCTGCTGCAGTGCTTTGTACATGAGTCAAGCTGTCTCATCCCATTGCAGTCGTCTCTGTCTCTGTGGTGGAGCACATGTGACATTTTAACTGGAGTGTTTTTTCTGGTGTGCAGAGGAGAACGAGCTGCTGTTCTCAGTTTTCTCAGCTGTGGCGTAATAGGTTGCACAATCAGGACAATTTAATGTCCATTTTAGAGGTCACAAGGCCATTTAAAGAGTGGGAAAAAACAGTTTCTACTTACTGTTTTTTTATTACAAAATGAACAAGAGTGGACAAGCACAACATGAAGCACCCCTAGCCCTGCAGAGGACATGAGTGCTTCTAAATATTCAGTGTTTTCTGTCTCTAAATGGCCTCTAGATGGATGTAGTAGTATGACCCCGAATGAATGTATATGATGTGAGTCACTTTCCATGGCCACGAGGTACTTTATAAAGTCAGTCTATAAAGTCCTTTTTTTCTTTCCTCTTGTAGAGTTCCTGCCCTCCCAGTAAAGAACCTGACTGGATCTGGACCAGTGCACCCAGCACTAGCAGGTTAGACAACATTCATTGTACAGCACCTGCAAAAACAGCTATGAAAGGAGTCATTTTTGTATTTAAAGTAAAATGTCATGCTCATATTGATCTTGAAAGAAATTCACAATCAGTGCTTTTTCCACTTCTTCGTTTGTGTGTATGTGTGTGTGTGTTGTACATATGCATCAGGTATGACAGGTATCCTGATGTGCGCTGCAGGTCTGCCGGTTTGCCTGACTCGGGCCCCCAAGCCCATTCTGCACCCGCCACCCATCAACAAGAGTGACATGAAGCCTGTGCCAGGGATCAACGGCATGCGCCGCAAAACCAAGAAAAAGCACCTGAGGAGAGGTAAAATGGAGGGAATTCAATTATATGAAAACAAAGAAGTGTAAATGCTGTCATTGTGTTTGTATAGTGTGTTTGTGAATACAAAATTAAACTGCACTGAGGAGAGGAATAGACCAACCACTGATAGTCAGCAGACTTTCTCTGTCCTGCCAAGCTTTGCAGGATGTTTCCGTATCAGCTGTCTCTAAGTCTGTTGTTTAGTGTGCAAACAAACCCAAAGCTGTTTTTGTTGTGATCAAGGAGCTGTAATTGTTCTTTAAATGCCTCCCATTTAAGCTCTATAAAGGTGTTACAATAAATCTAACCTCACCCAAGGTCGCTGATTAGTTAGGAAAGCATTCGTGTACCTTTTAAAAACAAAAAGCTGCTGTTAAATGTAATGATGATTGCCAGTTCAGATTTATGAGCAAATGTGGTGAAAGTGTTACTGTAACCATTTTATAGATGTGACATTATGTGCAGATTGACAGAGGCAGGAAAAGTAATTAACAAGGGACTGTTGCACTGAGCTGGTTTGAGAGGGGATTTGGTGTTTAGTTGGGCGGCTTTGGGCCTGAATAAGTGTTGGTCGATGGAAGCCGTGGAAACCGCCAGCCTCCCAAGGGACTTTTTGTCCTAATTGATCAGTGAGGCTGTTCGGTTTCCATCCCTGCACTGTGATTGTCCTCTTCAACCCTTTAGAGCTCTCCATTACTTACTGGTGGGGAGATGATGCAGCAGAACTTTATTTTACGGGTCCCTAGTTTCCTATAATTTGCTAGGAAGGAAATGATATGTGATTGTAAATGTACAGGAAGGGTCAGATTTATAGATTATACGGATTAAAGTATGTAACAGTATTAATTATAGGAAAAATGGAGATTTAACATTACATAGGCACAGCGATGGTTAAAGCTAAATGCTAATGTCAGCATGGCAACGTGATGGACTGATGCCCTAAAGCCATGCAGAAAGTGGAACTTTGTCTCTATTTAAAATTTATTTTCAGTGTCTTTGCGATGTGAACATGCTTGATGAACACATGGGAAAAGAAATGCAATGAATCACAAAGATAATTTTATTTAGAGATGGATGCAGAAACCAGGTATTAAACAGGCCCCAGAGCTAAAGAGCATAGTATTTATTGTCCTTAATTATGCACACAGTTCATGACAACTGTACTGGACCAAAATTTTCCTCTTTGTAAATATGTATATTTCTGCTGTAAAGTTAGGGCATTTTAATATGGAGCCTTATGGAGATCACTCACTTCTGTAGCCAGACTCAAGTTACTTTTGTATTGGCTTCATTTGCAAGCCACGGAGGTTGCCACTTAATTTTTCCCCATAATTAGTGCCAAATTACACAGTTCTTTATGGATCTTTAAAATGTGTTACCGTGACACTGCAGGTTGAGGAATGATGCAGCAGACAGACTTGTACTCAGAGATACTGGAGGGCTGTGAAGGGAATGGAGATGGATTTTTCTCGTGCGGGGAGATTTGGGCTTATCCCGCTCTGCTTTCTGTACAGAAAAAGGTCAGAGGCTTTTGATCCGACTAATGAAGCCATCAAATAGCAACAGCGTAAAATGTTTAATTGAGTCTCTTCTGTCTCCCTCCTCCTTTTCCCTGTTTTCTCTCCTCCCTCGCTTCATAACTCTCTGCCTCCTTTGTCTTCCCTAACCTTTATACCGTATACATTTTTTTTATTGCTCAGTCTGTCACTTTCCACTGCTCTCCCTCCCTCTGTTCGCTGGCTGTCCCTCAAATGAACAAACAAAAGGCTCTGGGGGAAAAGAGGTTGCCTGTAAGCGTATTAGGGGTGTAAGCTGTGGGTGCGCTCTCAGCCATGCTAGCCTGGTTGCACACAGGGATTATCAGAGAATGCGGGAAAGGCTGGTTGTTATGTGCCAGTTTGAAGGTGACCTCCTCTTCAACATCACAGACAACACGCTCAATTCACGTGCACGCTCACACTCTCTTATCAGCAAAAAGTGAGGCTCGCCCAGGCCAGAGTGGCCTCTGAAACTGATGGAAGTTTGTCATCCGTCAAGATGTAGCTGTTATTCTCTGGTGTTGAAATGACAAGCAAAAGCCATCCAGTGGTCTGTCTTGCCTTTTGTTCATACTTACACGCGGTGTGTGGGTGTAAGTAAGTGGCAAGTTTAGCTTTTCTTTGATGGTCATCTCATCTCTCTTATGATTTATTCTGTGACAAGGGAAAAACCCAGAGGATGTGGTGCGAAGATACACAGAGAAGATTAAAGTGGTACCAGATGAGGTAAGAAAAACACACCAAAGTTTTCTGCCCACCAAGAGATGCACTCTGTCACCATTTGATGCCCTAACCAAGTGTGAAAGTCTCATAGGTACACAGTCATGTAGAATGGCAGATGAAGTATTTTGCTTGGCTATTCCAGGACTGTACCATCTGCATGGAGAGGCTGGTCATGTCATCAGGCTATGAAGGCGTCCTGCAGCACAAAGGCATCAAGCCAGAGCTGGTGGGCAAACTTGGCAAGTGTGGGCACATGTACCATCTGCTGTGCCTGGTGGCCATGTACAACAATGGCAATAAGGTGGGTAAAGCTTGTGAGCCAGACGTTGTTATGATGTCACTCTAGGCTCATATTATAAACTCGCTAGGTCTTACAGCTTGACTGGATTGCATGGCACTGACAGATGATCAGGCTTCAATATTGTCACACACAGATGGGGATCTTATATTGTTTCAGTCATATCAGCCTTGGCAGCACAGTATTTTGTGAAATCATTAGAAATTCTGCTCACTTCGGTTTACTTGCATGAGCTACAAATGTACCGCTTGCCGATGCAGAAGAGGCAAATGCAAGAAGATTTAATGAGCTGCCATCAGTGTTACATTAACAGCAGTAGTTGGTCTAATGATCAAATCAGTCCAAGAATTTGTGTTAAACACACACATTAGCATTACATTATCACACAAATAGCAAAAATCCTATTTACTTCTGATGGTATCTAGCCTTGTAGATAGTTTTGGTTTTATTCGTCCAAGTTTTGAAATAATAAATAATAATAAAATAAATAATAACTACATTTTCCACTTGGTTTTCTAGCTGGCTGCTAACTTTGCTGTTCTGCTATTTGGTGTTGAGCAGTTAGTGTACAGTGGGTTTATTTTGAGTTTGACCTGTTGCTGAATATGAGGTTGTTTACACCAGTGAGAATGAACCGAAATAAAAAATTCTTAGGACGTAAAACCGAAACAATGAGCTGAAAGTTGGCAAAAGGCTTTATAGATCTGAGAGGAACTGCAGAATTTTGTGATAATTCTCTGTAGATTCATCACTATGAGCAAACCCTTTCACTATACACTTGTCATTTGGGTCCATTATCTTTATTTTTTAAACCAGGATGGCAGTCTTCAGTGTCCAACATGCAAAACCATCTACGGGGAGAAAACAGGCACACAGCCCCCTGGGAAGATGGAGTACCACGTCATCCCCCACTGCCTGCCCGGCTACCCAGACTCCAAGACCATCCGCATCGTCTATGACATTCCTGCTGGCATCCAGGTCAGAACCGTTAAATCCCAGTGCTGCTTTTGTGCCTTGATCCACTGTCTCTCCTCTCTAAATCTGAGCCCTTTCTATAACTGCTGCTTATCGGCTTAAGTTTGACGGTCGGTTGTTCGTGCAGGAAGGTGAGGTGTAAGTCACGGAAGAAACCAGCCTTCTTATGGATCACACTGTGGTTCTGGGCAACTTATAGTCATTATATTAGGACTATGATTAATGACTATCTTCATCATCTATTCATTTGCAGGTTTTTTTTGAGTAATTAATTCATCATTTAGTATATAAATAAATTGACTTACAAAATGAAGATAAAATCAGATGAAGGTCATTTTGAATGTATATCTGCAGCAGAGAGGAGAGCATGTTTTGCAGCACAGGCTCGAGCCGATGAGATAAAAAAGGTCGCGTATTTCATCCTGACTACTGAGAGGAGCTTTAATAGAGTCAATAAACTGACCTTTTTCCACCAGAGGAGCAGGCTTTAGTGTCCCGGGGGGACAGAGAATACTGGAGGGTCACCTGACCAGCACAGCAGCACTACCACCAGGGAACATTTCTGTTCTGTTGATCTCCCGCCTCTGTTTCCAACACGATAAACAAAAGACACAAAATACACTCTGCATGTATAAATTCAGTAGTTTTCTGCTGCTTTGCACTCAGACTGGTTTGCCGGTCTGTGTCTTTGGGCTACATGTACTTCCCAGTGAAAAAAGAGGGGAAGACAGTAAATAATGTGACATTTTAGAGGCAGAAAGGCAAGCTTGGAATAGCAGCAACGTGTTTGCAACACAATTTAAACGTCACTAGAAGTAAGGAAAAAAGGAAATTATGTGACCAAGTTTGTCATCACAAGGAAACCGTAACTACATAATATGATTCCTTCATTAATAAGGGTGGGGGTTTTACTGGTGAGGGTGCAGGAAGCGTTGGTGACCAGTTTATCTTTGCCCCCACCCGTCGGACAAGATTTAATTTTTTTACGCCTTGAAAGCAACTTTCTGAAATGTGATATTTAAGGAGATAATTGGATATTTACAGTAGCATATCTCTCCAATGATTTGTACACAGGGCCACTGTAAGCAGCGTGGACATTAAAGCTCGTCCTGTGGGTGCTGTTGACATTTTCAGCGCAATTAAGTTGCAATTGGAGGAGAAGGAGTTCTAACGTTTGTTTTTGTTCTTGACATTTCCACCAGACCAATGAGCATCCCAACCCCGGGAAGAAGTTCAGTGCAAGAGGGTTTCCTCGACACTGCTACCTCCCTGACAATGAGAAAGGCAGGAAGGTAAGCTCCGACCAAGAAAGCACTGATCTAACATTAAACCTCAATGAGCATTAAAGCCATGCTGGAGTCCAGTGCACCCTGCTGCATACAGTACAATTTATTCCTCTAGAGGGGAAAGCTTTTCTAATCTTTCTACAATCTGTGCTTGTATTTGCTCGTAGTTTTTCTTCATTAAATGTACTAAAGTGACTTCATTATTGTGATGGGCTTGTATTAAAGTTGTTAGTTTATTTATCTCTCTTGTAAGGTCACATGTGAATTATTGTTTTTCTAGGACTGCACCTAACAATTATTTTCATTATCGATTAATCTGTGGAGCATTTTCTTGATTAATCAGTTAATTATTTGGTCCATGATGTGTCAGAAAATCATCATCATCAAAGCAGAAGCTGACGTCCCCAAATGTTTTGTTTTGTCCCCAACCCAAAGATATTCAGTTTACTGTCATAAGAGGGTTGAAGAACGTATCATTGCAGCTCTATTGTTTTCAGGTTTAGTCACAGCACCTTGTGTTGCATGCCAAAAGAAAGCTTGTACTCACATGCATTAAAGTAACACAATGACGTATTATTCTTGTATATTAATGTTATTACTAATTTGGCTGTTAAAAATATGCTTTCTTTCAAATCCAGGGATCATGATGCCCATTGTTATTGTATTATTTTATTTCAGTAAGATCAAAGTGGAGAATTATTATTTCTTATTTAACAGCCATTAAGTTTCACTTACCGAGAACACAGATTACATTTCAGTTTTGGGATGATTCGCTTTGAGTTCAATGTTCAGACAGTAGTTTCACTATTAACTGGGAAAACCGAGTTTCTGAGTAAGATGAGTGAGATGTGTCAATAGACCACAGTGATACGTCAAAACAAATGTTGTGAAAGAGGACCAGCATTATTCTCTCACATTATACTCACCAGTTGCCAACCTTTTCAAAGCAAAATGAGCACATATATGCAGCATACTGGGCCTCTTTCATCTGTAATTTAGGGGTAATATTTTATCAACCTTTGTCATTCAACACCAGTGTGTTTTTCCACTATTTAATAATTAGTAAAACTGAGATTCTGTAGTTTCAACCGTTGAACTAGCAGGGCTTTACATGCCTTTATCTCATCTCGCACTGACTTCTGTAATGTACTTTTCTCTTTACTTATCTGCCCTTAATCGTCTGCGGGCAATCCTGAATGCTGCTGCACAACTACTCACTAGGTAAAATAGATGGCCTCACATTACCCCTGTACTTACATCTCCTTGATGGCTCCCTGCTGCCTATAGGACCCAGTTTAAAATTCTCACTCTTACTTACAGAGCATTGCGCGGTCGGGCTCCTGCACCCTTACTCATCAGCTCTCTCCCTTAGGTCAAATGTGCTAAATTTGCTGTCTGTGCCACGCACCCACCTTAAAACCTGTGCTGATCGAGCTTCGGTGGCAGTAGCACCTGAACTATGGAATGATTCTCAGCAGACATCGGTCGATGACGATTATCTGGTGTTTATATATAATATAAATACATCTTACTTACTTACTTGCACAAATACTTAGAACAACATCACTATTGCATGTTGTTGTAGACTGTAAAAATCAATAAAAAAATAAAAAATAAATAAATAAAAAAAATACAATAATGACAATTCACACTGGTGTCACATGTTTCCATCCCTTCTGATCGAAGCTGGAGCTGATAAGTGCTAGTGATTAATGCTGAGACATTTGGAAAGAATGCCGATTGTACCCCTTCTCATTAAAGACAAAAGCCAGATGTTAGTGGGGGTTTTTGTCCAGTGGGAAAGGGCTTAAAATGTTCTTTTGCTTCAAATGTTGAGACCCACTAGTCCTGCTTGTGGTGTGCTACTTTCTTCTTGCTATAGAGGGATAATAACTTCCTTCTCCAACCTCCTCCCTCCCTCCAGGTCCTGAAGCTGCTGATCATGGCCTGGGACCGACGCCTCATCTTCACCATCGGCACGTCCAGCACCACGGGCGAGTCGGACACGGTGGTGTGGAACGAGATTCACCACAAGACAGAATTCGGCTCCAACCTGACCGGCCACGGCTACCCCGACCCTAACTACCTGGACAACGTCCTGACAGAGCTGTCGGCCCAGGGGGTCGGCGAGGACAACCTGAAGGACTGATGTGCAGCTGAGCTAGTACACAGGACCACAACCCACCATGCCCCGCCGTCTCCCAGAGAACAGGGACACTGCATGACGGGCCGACAACTCTTTACTCCCCACAAACAAAAAAAACCCCTGCAGAAGTGGTGGCACAAGAGCAACGGAAGCAAAATAAATGACGTGGTTATGATCAGTCTTTTTGATGTGTGTAACCTAAGATCCCCCCCTGCTGTCTCTTGATACATGCCTTGAGCATGTGTGTTTATGCCAAATTTTCTCAGAGGGTTGAAGAATGTAAAGATAAGGTGACATTTCTGTCTTGATGTCGGTAGCTGCAGGTAAATGGTCTTTAACCCCTTTTAGATCCAAATTGAAGCTGTTCCTCCTGAGGGGCCAAAACTATACAAAGGCATATTTGTAAATGCTGAACTCCAGAATGCATGGCCCAGACTAACGCTGCATAATGAATGTTGGGCGAATATCTGCAATAGGGAGAGGTGTCAATAGATCGGTATTGCTTGTTTTTGTGAAGAGACATTTAAGAGAATTTCAGCATTCGGAATGATCCTGAATCGATATTTTGTTCCCCCTTTTCTCTAATAATTAATTATTGTCGTGTAACAAGTGGTGGTTTTGTGATTTGAAGGAGAGGATTTGGGCTTTTTGGTGATATTACTGTAAAGTTGCACTGGGCATCTCTGACATTTTCCACTTCTGATACCTTAGGTCAGTTGTTCTGTAAAATGAAAGCGTGTTCTGTAGTGCATGAAGTAGATTCCAGAGAGCTAAAGGCTATGAAATATTAGTGTTTGGTTGTAAACGTATGTTGTGTGGTTAACCTTGTGGACTGTCTATGAGAGGAGACGTGAAATAGATGAAACAAGCATCTCACCGGTCAGTTTGATGCTTGTTACGAGGTGTTGTAACTTGAAAGGCTGAGGTTGTGAAGCGGGGTTTGCTACACTCCAAGGTTAAACTCATTTGTTTTGTTGACACACTGATGACGCTGACCTCTGTGAATATAAAGCCGGCATTATTTTTCTCCCTGCTGGAGCAAACCCAGGCGTTGGCACGATCCATCATGCTGACCATACATGAGGGGCGAGCGTGTGTGATTGCGTGCTTTGAGGCATTAATATGCTGGCTCGAAGTCCTTGAGGAGAATAGCTGAACACTCTCCTCACAGATGGAGGTCCCCTCTTTTAAACACCAACAGTTTTCCCTTGGAGATTTCGGGCAGCCCTCCTGCTCGCCTGCCATCTGAAAGTCTCTGGTGAGCTTGTTTGCTGCTAGGCAGTGCACAGGGCTCCACCGCTTGTATAGCGAGCAGTGAAATATCTCATTCCCTGCGTGAGCTCACTCAAGAGTTGCTAGGGCCAATCCTGATGTATGGCCTCGCCCCCACTTTCCTCCTCCTCCTCCTCCTCCTCCTCGAGAACCATGCAAATGTTGGTATGTTATTTGCTGGTAACCATTTTTTCCTACGCTCTCCTCTTTACCCCTCAGATATTATGCCTGTAAGCTAAAGACTTTTTGAAGGTCCTTGGTGGAGATGTGATGTTTCTTTAGTCTGAGATAAAAGATAACCCAGTGCTGCATAATTCTCCATAAATATATCTGATCAATGTTAATGAGCGGGGGTGTAGATGTAAGGTTTATCGAGTGGACACCCAGCTGTGAGCTTCATTTTGGAGTGAATCATAGTCTTCCATAGCACTTTGAGGCAACGGTTTTGTTTAATCAGTAGTTTAATTTTTAGAAAAATGTCTTAAATTGCAACAAAATCTGTCCTTTTTTTTAAGTTGATGTTTATAAACTGGCTTGCAATGCTTTGAAAAATATATATAATATACATTTGCAGATGTGATATACCTTTAAATTCAAGCTCAATTTGAGTCAATGGTGTAAGTTTAATTTATTTTTATACTCTTCTATATAAAAAATATAATGATATCGACTGGCCCACATATCTATACACAGGCACATGTTACCATGAATACATAAAATCTGGCAAAGATGAATTTGTCAGTATGTCAGGGACTGTTGAAATATGTACGACATGTTATGGACGTCTTATATTACAAGTAGTCTTAGCGTATGCTGCTGTCGTTACCTTAATGTAGAATCTGTGTAGTCGATCCCCTGTGGGACTCCCAATAAATACAGTAAATGTGTCTTTATTATTGGTGGGGGAGCTTTAGCAGCATGAACATGACCGTTTCCCCTCCAAATGGGCCATTTCTCTTTTTCTACTTGTCCAGAACATGGGAATGGATGCAGTCAGCAATCTTTGCTCAGTTTGAAGATGAAAACATCACACCTGGGTTAAAAAGAAGCTACACATAATGCTTAGTTTGTTTTAGCTAAGTGGAGCAACAGATTGGTGGGATTGACCTCAGTCAGTTGTCAATCTAAGTACACTGAATTTAATGTTTTTAAAGGCCCTGTAAACCTATTTTCTCAACTAACTATCCTTATCTTAAATGAACACAATACAGTTTTCTTCCAAAGTTTGAACATTTTTGGTTATTTTACATGAGATTTTTTTGTATTTGTGTGTTCCGATATATAAAGAAGGATGACATGACAGTTGTCTAAAAGTGAAGCCAAAACATATCGGTCGCCCCGTGGTGGCTGACTGCAGTATAGATCATAAAGCCTCAATGTTAGCAGATGGGCCAAACTAAAAAAACAAAATACACGTCAAATAAATGTTTCCCAAAGATTGCTTCTGTCATTTAAAGTAGTTCTGATCACTCTGATGTATGTTCAAGTGTTCATTTTTCTGCTAAGTTTGGTTTGAATTAGTTATTTGAAGCTATAAAACAGGGGTTTTACATCATGATTTACTTGATGGACCTCGATACCGTGGCGCCAAACCCGATTCCTCTCTGGCTCCAAATGGCATTTTACGAATTGGCAATAATTTGACTGTGGGACAGTTTGTCCAGTCTGTTGATTCGCCTCAAAAACAGCCAATGTAATGCACCGATGTCTGAAGCTAGCTAGCAATGTATACTAGCTGTAAGCAGGGGTTTCAAACTGCCGGCCTGGGGGCCATTTCCGGCCCTCTATCCTCCTCACTCCGGCCTGCGACATGATGTCCAAAATATAATATTATCTGGCCCGCAAGATTTATTTAACTTTTATAAGTTTAAAAAATAAATTTGTTTCATATCAAGTTAAACTGTCCCTTCATATGCAATTAAAATGAAAACACAATTTTATATATATATATATATATATATATATATATATATATATATATTTAACTGTATTTCGTCAAAAATGCTCACAAATGGTTGATAATAAGATAATATGAAAATGATGATACAAAGATGTATAAAAACTGCTTTTTGCATGTTTTTGTTCAGTGTAATGTCAGTAATGGAAGTATTTTAAGAATATTGCACTTTCTTATTGTACTTAGTAGTGGCCCTCCTCTGAGATGACAATACCAGCAGTGACCCCAAGCCAATTTGAGTCTTGAAGTTAAACTCTTCCCAAAAATCAGCTGATTATCCAAACGTTAGCTTTATTGCTGCTTATATAATCATGAATATTTAATCTTACAGAGAAATACTTAACAGTTTTCAGGGTCTTTGAACTGCACAGGCTAAAACAAACCACTAAAAGTATTTGTCTGTGTGATTTTGACCCAGGTGTTGAAAACAGTCATTGTTTGGCCTGCTCCATCTCAAGTTTTCTCCTTCACGACCTTTTTGACTCCCTTTATAATACGGGACAGCAAGAGAGAATGCTTCCAATCTATCAGGGAATTTTTTCCACGTTGAGTGAAGTTTCATTAACCAGAGAAATCCAAATGTTTGCTTCTTCGACCTTTCCTTTCCATGTGTCGGCCTTGTAGTATGAACGATGCAGGCCCTTTAGACTTTTCAGGTGTGTACAGACTTATATGGGAATGATGAATAAAACATGGTTTGGTATTTGTTTGATTAAGAAAGAGAGCGAGATGGTGTTTATGCAATTTACTATTTTTAAAATCTAATACATGATTTATGTGTAGCAAGAAGGCAGATTCTTTCGGTTTAAATGACGGTGGATGTTTTCTTTATGGGGTGCCTACCTCCAGGTTTCTAAACGAAAGGGGTCGCAATCCGAGGATGTCCACATGCTATGTATTAGAAAACATATATTTTTGATGTCTTTTTTTGAATGATGATTGTCTCTAAAAGAACTATTACATAACATTGCTGTATTACTCTTATCAAGATTCATTCCATACTATTTTCCATTTGATTAGGAGCGGGATAAGGGATGAAATCACTTTGTCTAGGAGTAAATACAGTTGTACTCTCTCGTAGTGTCAACTGCAAACTGTACTTCTCTCTCTAAATGATACCGTAACATTTTGTGTGGATATACTGCGTGTTTGTCTGTGCGAATGTGCGTGAATGTGTGCGTCTAGTAAACGAATCGTAGGTTCATGTCCTTTAAAGATACAGTAATGTTCTCCTAGAGGTGCATGTTAACCAAACTGTGAGCAAGTTTATTGACAATGCATAGCTTTTTTGCGTATGAAAACATCATAGCTTCTTTAGAGATATCACCCAGGTCTTCTGGTGGTTTAGCACTGTGGTTTCGCATCTTACTCCAGTTCGTTAGAAAGATTTTTTCCTCTTATCGGGTTTGATTTACACAGATGGGGACGAGACAGCGTTTGGCTGCTCTCCTCACTCTTTTGACAAAACATGCAAATGTTTTGACTTTTAAGTGCTCATTTCAATTGACATTTTCAAATCATGACTTCTGTGGTTTGAGTTCTCTTAAGCAGTGTCTACATATTGCTATTTCAAATGGTTCACAAAGAGAAACTGAGACAAACTAAAAGCAAGATATTGAGAGACATTGATTAAACTATAAAGGGCTTCTTAATCTATCGGTCTTTATTGAATTGTGATGACCTTGTTGCATGTTTGTGTGTTTCTCGTGGAAAAATAAATGTACCCTCGACAGGGGTAGTTTGACCTTTTGTCACCTTGGCTCTTCCTGGTTTTTTTTCCCCCACTCAGTGGCACATCCTCCTTTATTTAGCTCCACCATTTCCTTCTCCCCGGGCAGCTCTGTGCTCTACAGCCTCGTTATGTGGATATAAATGAGCTTTGCTGGAGCTGTGGAGTGCAGCAGGAACAGTTCTCACTGGCAGTAAATTTGCTTTATGGTCATTTTCTGTCACTGGCTGCTGTATGTTGGTGCTGTGCTGAAGAGCTGTGGTTGGTGCACACTAAAGCAGGCCCTCCACCAGGGGCCTGAGGGAGACCAACTTTCCCTTAAACTCACCCCTTTTCCTTCCAGCACTGACTGACCCAGCAGCTCAGGGCAAAGGTCAGTCTCCTGCTAGTTCTGGTACCTAGCCCTCCTGCCCTGCCTCCTCTCATCGCTCACCTCTCATGCCTAATGAGAGAGCTAGAAGGGAGACTCTGCTGCATCACTGCTCTCATTAGCATTTAAATAAGGCTCGGAGGACGAACGGCTGCAAACATTGTTTGTGTGGCATTATTTAACATTAGATTCTGACTCCTGTTGGATTGTAAAGTCTGTGGTTATGGTGGTTTGATTAAATTATTCATTTGAACAAAGGGCTGGTGTGGTAACCATGACACTGCTCTGGGATCTGTCAGACACGTAATGACATTTCCTGTAATACCATGAATAAATATCATTGTCTGCGCTGAGTCAGACCTTCCACTTTAAAGTTAACCAGGAATGGACAGAATATTAGATACATAATCATTTCTACACAAATGAACAAGAAGAGAACACAAATGTGACACTTGACTTCAGCTGAAATAATAGTTTACTGAATAATACAGTTGTGTTTAGTTCACAGTAACAATCCACTTGGAACAAACCATCATGGTGTATTTGCAAAATAAAGTACAGGCAGTAGTGTTTTTCCTTTTTTCAAAATAAAAGCCCTCATTCAGGGAATATCAAGATTCACAAGCGACATCTTACTCTACTTTTGAAAAGATTGTGTGACAGATCTGAAATCACTAAAACAAATTTTGTGTGCAGCAAATACCAAAACACTTAAAGAATAACTCTGCATGAATGTAGCCTATTGATTGTCATGTCTGGCATGTGTACTATAGAGTTACATCTAAGCCAGGGAGAATGTTTACTCCACACATAAATATTCCTCTAAAAGACAGGCAGACACTACAGTAGCTGTGCCATAATATAATCTAAACGGCTCCACAGACAGGGTGGCCTGCTGAGGCTTTCTGAGAGATCACAGATCAGATCTCCATTACACTCACTGACCTTTTCTGTTTAGGGGAAAGACACTGAACACTAGTCGCTCTACGGGAAATGGCTTTACAGCATGTCCGTGTACAGTTTGTGTGTCTCAGATACATAAAGAAAATCGATGTTATTCAAGTGCTTCAGAATTCAACTTTTAAAAACAATTTTGGCATCTCAAACAGATCCTGACACTTGTAAGCCGAATAGTGGCACCAAAATCTCAAGGAAAATGTAAACTTAAACTTAAAATGGGAACATCACATAATTATTACTCCTATTGTCTCACTTATATTCAAGATTGATCTGTTATATGTATGGACTTTGGGTATACATTACCCTTATGACTTTAGGAGTGGCTACATCAAGTGTAAGAACATTTAAAATATGCAAATTACATCAGAACCAAACATTTAAGTTGACTGGCCATAGCACCAAAGAAAAGCACAATGTTTTGTATAAAGGGACCAAAGCAACAATTCAAAATTTAAAATGAATACTCACTGTACAGGCAGCGTGATACTGTGGCATGTGCACCAGCATTTCATAAACTTGTGGTGGTATGACCTCTAATGTTAATGTCAATGCTACATTGCGACCAAGGTGATAAATTGCCTCAGTAAAATACAAAATAAAAGCAATATCAAAACACCTTACATTCAGGTACTGTAGATTACACTACAACAAGCTTTTTGCATAAAAATGTGCGACCGAGGTCCTGTACAGTATCTCAAAATATAAAAGCTTCTTTTCACATTTCACAACAAGTGGATGCAGGCCATGCAAGGGATTGCTTGTTATCTACATAAAAAATATCAAGTCAGATCATGCTTCAAAGTCCCTCGGCCCTCTTTATCGTCAAGTATCATAATCTCTCCCCGGCGCTGTTGAAGCCGGTGGCACTCAGAGAATACAAAAAGATTCAAAGTGGCAGAATTCCCTCTGCTCTTTACAGCGGGAAATGTACTAAAAGGGCTGGAAGAGGTTGCACCCCGTGGCCACTTTACTCTCCCTGACAATCAAGAGAGTGAATAACTGATGCTCACTCGGGTTGGTACAGGATGCTGAGCGACCCCCTTCAGGCATTAGTGGATCCCAGTCTATGTGGAGTCTAGGGATTCAGAATGACACTGGTGCCGTCCTCCTTTTCCCTGCGCTGGAAGGTGGTGTGAGCCTGCTCCAGATCGTCTATCACTGCCAGCAGCCGAGCAGCAACGCTCTGACCTGGCTTCATTTGCTTACATTCTGCACCATCTATGAGACAGAAAGTGTTCAGTGCCATCAAAGACAAATCATGATGATAACATGAGGCTACACACAACAATAAAAACTGCAGGAGCTGCAGGAGCTGCAGTCACACCTGGGTGAATGTCAGAGTTGATCTTTTCTTTATTGCTGGACGTCTGATCAGCATCTGGCGTCTCCAGATATTTTTTCCTGCGGTATGAATCACAAACATTAATCATATGATCACTGACTACTCTCTAGAAGCTGCTTTGTCTTTTCAAACAGTGACAGTGAAACATGTGAAGCATGAGCAGTAGCAGCAGAGCAACATAGACCTCTAGTGTCCAGTAAATGAACTGCATCCAGGCTGAGGATGTTTACAGACTTTTTTGTCCACTGACCTGAGTTTGTCTCTGCCCTGAAGAAGCTGCTTGTATATAGTCTGCGTCTCGACGTCGGGATCTAGTGGGTCGCTCCAGTCGCCCAGAGTCACGGCTGAGTGGGTTCTACTGCAGCCTGTAACTGAGAACCAGGCTTTCATTGGACAGTGGTGCACCACACATGAGCCTCAAACACAGCATATGCTTTCGAGTTGATAATTGGATGGAGGTGTCGTAATACAAGCTTGTACATTTTTAGTGTGAATAGCCTGAGTGGCAGTCAAACTCTAAGCGCTTGCATTACCCAGTGTTTAACCAACAGGGAACAAGGGCTGCACCATGTGGTAAAAACATATTGCAAACATATTTGAAATTTGCATCTGGAGAACAAGATTTGAACGGTAGAAATACAGTACTTCATTATAATGCTGTTTTGACACATTTTACCTTTATCAAAAGAGTTTCCTGCGATTTTCATATTGCACTTGGCCATATTGAGTTTCGATAATATAAGATTAATTGTACAGCCCTACAGGGAACATATGTCATATAAACACTGACTGATGAAACGTTTCTCTTGTTCAGGACTGTAGGAGTTTAATCTGGTGTAGCTTTCAGACAATGACTAAATGTAATTGGTCAGAGAAAATTACATTATGATTCTCAGAGCTCGTTCTCCACTGAAGCAACAAAAACATGGCAGCTACAAAGTGGGGGTTTTGGTCATTAAATATGGATGGCCAGGAGCTCATTCGCTCTTTGAAGCAAGCTACGAGTTAGTCAACCAGGAGTGAAGAAGTGTTGTGAACTAGATGTAAGCCTGCATGCTGTTGGCCAAATACTGCTCTGGGATGCTGTTAATTCCTGATGATCCTTCGGGGGGCGCCGTGGGTGTAATTGAACACATTTGTAATTGTAAATCTGAGTACAATTTACAAACAGTACAATAAAAAGAAGGTTACATAAAGTTTGTGCAGCGTCAGCAGTCATAAAAGCAGCATTACCAGCGCGGTCCGCCTGCAGGCAGCAGGTCCACTTGCCACTGCGATGAGCTCCTGGGTGGAAAGAGGGCAGCATGCGCTCATTGTAGATGCTGACCTTCCTGATGGCCGACAACCACTGGTTCAGCTCATTCACGTTCTATTCAGACAGAAAAAAACACCATGAACCATGAGTTTAGTGGCCCCTTAAAGTCATATTGCAATCAAAGCAGGGGAAAATGATTAGTAATCAGCTAATAAGCCTTCATGAATAAAGTTTTATCAAATCAATGTTATTTCTTTGTACGTGAATTTAACATTCCCTCTTGAACTAATGTATCAATAGAATGAAAACTAATATAGTTCTTTTACTTTTTCTAATAGACTGTCATCAGTATTCTATTTTAACTTAACTCTAATAGCAAACTATACAATACAATAATAATAAGGGAATAATGCTTTATCTGTGCCAAAGCCAAGAAAAAAAGCATAGTCTGGGTTAAACTGGAAAAGGTCATGAACTTTTTGGTGACTGGCTGGTGTCAGTACCAATGCACCTTGCACTGGATGTACATGGTGTGCAGCTGCCCGTCGTTGTCCTGGGTGATGACCTGCATTACATTCTGCTGCTGAAAGGCATTTTCATCCACCCTCTCCACGGCACACACGCACTGAATGGGGATCGAGGAGCGCACCTGCAACAATTCAGCCACAAACCACAACACCAATTAACACAAGTATGCACAGGCTGGTAATAATGGATCATGCTTCTGCCTGAGGCTGTCTCCACTAAGGTTTTTACCCGAAATAAAAGTGACATTTGATCACACAGCAAATTAATGGAGCGGCGTCTAATACTGAAATATTTTGCACGCATTAGGCGAGGAGGAACAGTGTGAGACAAGGAGGAAGTGAAGATGAGATCAGCGTGGCAGCAAAGGCCACTTTAAAGTGTAAATCAGCCACTTCCAATGGGAGCTTGCTTCACTGAGACTGGAGTGCTCCAACATTGAGGAAAGGGGCCAGGACATTGTCTGCAATCTGATTTGCAATGTTAGCATGAATATCCACAGCCTTCAATTACCCCTCGCCTTTATTCCAGTCACACAAAGCCGACACTGGCTCAAAGAGAGAGCTTTTTACT